GTACAATGTATGTATTACAGTACTCAGCTTGGTAATGGATGAGATGGCAGATCTGCGCTTATAGACCGGCGTGTATACCACCACGGCATTCGATGCGAATGCCGCTGGCAGTAGACCGTGGGCCTGTATCCACATATCAGCAGCATAGTACCACATGGGCTTCATAACGCAAGGCGCCAAGCGGTGTGAACTCCACGTGTAGGCTTATGCATATCTTACAACCCATTACCAACTTGAAACTGTATCTTGGATGGATGTGTTTTAATAAAGATCGTACTGGGCCCATCCAGGTACAGACTGGTGTTTAGCTTAGGGAATACTTGTACAAAGGATTTGCATGCCAATGGGAGCTAGTAGGACAGGAAATATGACCTCAGATGGCTCATGGGGGGGAAGGGGAGGAAGTCTGCTGACCTCAGAAGGCTCATGGGGGAGGACCAGTGATAGATAATAGGAAAGGCTATGCTCCAATCGGAATGTACATCCTGTGTATAGGCACTCCCCATTGCATTGTTCGGTGGGAGGGGATTGACTTTATTCATGTGGGGGGCATGTGTGTATTTTTAATAAAACCAGGGGCTGAGTCTGAAACCGGCCCTTATGTGAATTCAACCATCATCCTGAGAGTGTCGTTTGATCATTCTAGGGTAATGGAGCTCCATCATCCCCACATTTCAACAGAAGATAAAAGTAGTTGGATGGGCAGGAATCGTGTAGTTTAGCTACAGTCGTGGTAAGCGAGATTCACACAGCTTTATGGGGGATTTCTGCGCATCCAACTGCGAGTACTCACGGTAAGGAGAAATTCGTTAAAGCGAATTTCCAAGACAGTTCATATAGTGAACTCGGTGTAGAGGTATTCACCCTGAGGTCATCACAGAGGACAAGGGGGCACTCTTTACGTCTGGAGGAAAAGAAATTTAATCTGCAAACACGGAAAGGTTTCTTCACAGTAAGAGCTGCGAAAATGTGGAATAGACTCCCTCAAGAGTTGGTTCTGGCCAGCTCAGTGGATTTGCTCTAAAAAAGGCCTGGATTCTTTCTTAGATACACAGAATATAACTGGATATTAACATTTATAAGTAAGGTTGATCCAGGGAATACCCGATTGCCTCTCGGGGGATCAGGGAGGAGTTTCCCCTGCAGGAGCAAATTGGATCGTGCCTTGCTGGGTTTTTTTTTTCCTTCATCTGGATCAGCTGTGGGTATAGGATTATAACATTTTTTTTTTAATGGTTGAACTGCATGGACTTTAGTCTTTTTTCAGCCAGACTAACTATGTAATTATGTAATAAACAATAGTTGGTTTCCTCATCCAGTATAAAATGGATGAATCAAGAGATTGCTATCTACTTTACAACTTACTAAAATTCTTGTGCCGGAAGCTAAGCCAGAAAAATATAAACTGCTGAAAGATAACGACTACACAACGTATGTTCATTACGAATATTGGCTTTCAAAAGATATGCATAAGGCATGCTTATTTTTACAGACAGCATATTCAGTTTGCCCAGAATATCTGGCAAAGGGCAGCATACAATTACTGCAGTGATAATAATGAAAGAAGGAAAAAAGTCATATATAGTCATTTCCCTAGCAACAGGATATTTATATCCTTTATACTACACTGGGAAAACCTAATGTGGATTGTTTGCTCGGGGCAACAGCTCCACCTGATCCAGTATTCATAAATTGTCAACTGACGTCTCTGGGTTATCTTCTTTTAAGAGATTGCACTGTGTGTTCTGTAGACATCAAACTGCATGCAGTTCCTCCATAGCAGCATGAAATATGTGACGTTTAATCACTGGGCACACAGGACAAACATGTAACGTGAGAAACAACAGTCCCATGGATGCCCATTGGTGCCTTTGATAAAAAAAGTTGGTGTATACACGCACAATTTGATCTAGAAAAGATTAAGTACATTAGACATAAGGTCCTACAAAGCTGAGAAAATCTGCATGTTTGACCTATGGAGGAAGGAGGTTACGGCACCAGCCTAAGTGAGAAAATTCAGACACAACGATTGCTTAATCCCATGAAAATGTTTAGTTCTAGAATGTTTTCCAGGATAGGGAAAGGTCTACAGACCTGAGGTTCAATCATCCAGATTGAGAGAACATTCTTTTATGTCTATAGGCACCTTATAGGGTTGTTATCACAGAAACTACAGCAATCTGATACTTGAATTCAATAACTGAAATGATAGAATGCAGAATATTAAAGAGAACCTAAACATGAAAGCTGTGCCCAAAAATGTCAAGCAGTGTATGAAGGACTAGCCACTGGTATTGCAGGTGGTCTCCCTACAGTTGATCTTTTCCCCATTGCTGATTTACCATGCCTTGCACCACACCGAGTTGCTGTATGGAAATGACCATCTTGGTAGAGGGACAGGGATTTGCTCATGTTGGAACTTCCCCATAATGACTGGTGGAGGAATACTTAATAGGCATAAGGAGGATGATAGAAAGCAGAGATTCATAGGAAAAATAAAGCAGAAGCAGGGAGATCCTTCCTCAGCTACAGCTTTCTCTTGAACAAGAAGCACAGTAGTGACATCACCAAATCTTATTCTAAATCTTGTGAGGCTGCCATTCACATTAACAGTGCCTTCAATTTACACGGCAGATATAAAGCTATGTATAGCCCAAACTGTTTTTTTTTAGTTTTGGAATGAGTAAGTAAGGATTAAAAGTTTTTATTCCTACTACAAAACAAATTAACAAAAAAGGGCGCACCAGCCTAGTGCATTATCGCACAGAATTTATTTTAAATCAACATGACTAATACAAACATGTGAATTACAACCACTCATCAAGCTACTCGTCTATAGCCCAGTAGTCCTAGACTTGGCGCACTCCAGAGTGCAGGATGACCTCACCAAGATGTTAGATGGCTAATGTGTTTTAAAGGTGACCCCTACATCATCACAGCCCATGAATGCACCAGGAGTGCACCAAGTCTAGGACTACTGGGCTACAGATGAGTAGCTAGATGAGCAATTTTAATTTACATATTTGTGAGTAAAATATTCATGACATATCAAAAAGCATTAAAAATACATATGAATCAAATGACTACTGTCACTGATTAGAGTCAATGCATTTTGCGGTGAGCACTGCTTCTTCAGGACTTCATCATGTGTGACAGATGCAGAAGCAGATATTGTATTACTAAAATATTTATTATTTTAATTTGACTTTGGTGTATATAATACATACTGTACCAATCGGCACCCCCTTTTGCCTTTTTCTTGGATTTTGCTGTAGATTATGGAGTGACGACCCTTCTGTATATAATATAATAGTGGGCAGAGACTTATGCTTCCCTCCACACATATTTTTCTTATCACATTTTGGAAATTAATTTTTTCTGGCCACTGAAATAAATGAACGCTCAAGCGCTAAACGCGTATATCATTTAGGTGCATTTAAATGCATTTAAATGTGTTTAGGTGTGTTCAGCAGTTTTCCTGCCCAAACGCTCCTAAGTGCACTGGTGATGCTTTTGTTCAGCCTCTAATTGCTCCTCTTCTAGCACACCTTCAAAGGCCACTGTGTGCATGGCTATATAAGCTAATTTAGGGGAGGGGAAGTAAGATGCAGTGTTTTTATACATCCGGTGTGCATGAGCCCTTATATGAAGCTTGGTTGTCACTCAACCATGGGTGCTTGCTTCCATGGTAAACTACAGTTTAACAAACTGATGCATGCACAAGCATGGCAGCACAGTGGCTAAATGGTTAGCACTTCCGCCTGGCAGTGCTAGGGTCATTGGTTCAAATCCCAGCCATGGCACCTCCTGCCTGGAGTTTGCATGTTCTCCTTGTGCCTGTGTCAGGTTCCTCTGGGTACTCCAGTTTCTTCCCACACTCCAAAGACATGCTGGTAGGTTAAGTGGATCCTGTCTAAATTGGCCCTAGTATATGAATGTAAGTTGGGGACCTTAGATTGTACACCCCTTGAGGGTTAGGGACTGATGTGAATGTACAATATATATGTAAAGCACTCCATAAATTGACAGTGCTAGATTAGTACCTGGAATAAAAAAAAATAACTCCACATTTGCAAATCACAGCATTTGTAGGCACATCCTCCTTCTTAGTCAACCCTGCTGATCCTCAGCTGTACAAACTGTGAGAGGAGGGGAAAGAGAATGCATGTTCATTTGTACCTTGTCCCAGTGCTTGCTGAGAAACAAAGTCTAATTGTCATTGTATACCCAAGGCTCATGTGCTGGTGCCACAAGCAGGAAATAGCATGGTAACAATGTGCGGAAGACATCTTTTATCACTTCAAAAACTACATTTGGGAAGCAATTTTGAAAAAAAGAGTTGAGTGATACAATTGAAGGGAAAATAATACTCTTTTTTTTATGGAGAGTTTAGTTCCATTTTAAAGAGAAACTTCACTCTGTTTTAAAAAAAATTAAAAGTCAGCAGAACAAATAATGTTGCTGCTGACTTGTAGGCTACGTTCACACTTGACTTTATTTCGAACTCTTGCCAAACGTCCCTATAGTGTTTGACAGGTGTTAGACAGGAGTTTGGTTAACGCTCCCCAAAAGCTCCCCAAACGCCCTATGCTCATTTTTGAGGTGTTTGATAGGTATTTGCAAAAACGCCTATAATGAAGTTTAATGGTATTAACGCTCTGCAAATGCTCCACAAACACCTGTCAGGCATTTGAGAAGCGTCACCATAGACTTGAATGGGAGGCTTCAACTCCTCCTGACTCAACATGAGGCATCAGTTTTTCCGCGACACGACACTAACGCTTCAGTGTGAACAAAACTGTGTGCTGCCATGTGCAGAATTTTCATAGGCATTTGATAAGCGTTAAAAACGCTTCCCAAATGCCTGTCTGATGCCTGCTGACAAAGCTAGTGTGAACGTAGCCTTAAGAAGCAGACACTTACCGAACCATGGAGTCCAGAGCTGTCTTTTATGGAGCAATTCATCCCCAGGTTTCAGCTCTCTGGATATGGGAGCTGGCTGTGACTTCTGAATGCTCACAGCCGGATCCACACTGCGCACGCACTAGGCACCAAAGCACCATGAGCAGGGTTGGACTGACAACTCATGGGGCAATAGGGGATCATGGGGCCCCTGTGTCCTTGCCCAAACTCAAAAAAGCCTATGAAAAAGGTACCAGGGGCATCTCATGGGGCCCCCAGTGCCCCGAGTTTCCAAATGGTCAGTCCGCCCCTGACCATGAGCCTGGATTCACATATGTGCAGGACCGTTTTGCAATGTGATTTGTCAAAGAGTCCAGTGTGATTTTGTTCAATGATTCAGGTGCGATTGTGATGCGTATTGTTAAAGTGTATGACATTGGAGATCACACCTGAACCAGGCTGAAAATCGTACCGGACTCTTTTTCAAATCGCACTGCGGCCGGCCTACATATATGTGAACCAGCTCCATGGAAAATAATTTTGGTTCACATGTCTAGCAAATCAGATGCTGTTCAAACCAGGAAGCCGGCAGGGAGGGGGGGACCTAGACGACAACTGAGGAAGTAGGCGCTGTCACCTGTCACGAAAAGTCTTGTTCGAGGCAGTGGAGAAGAAGTGCATAACTGATACTTTTTATTTTTCATTGAAGTTCCACTTTAAGAACTGATAAGCTGCAATGTATTACATTTTTTTATTCTTGGGTTTGATACACTTCATTATTTATTGCCTGTCAGAGATCGCCGCGGCGCTGGTCCCGACGCATGCGCAGTAGACCGTCTCATGCGGGGATTCGGGCGCTAGGACTCAGTCCACCGCGATGACGGAGTTCACGCATGTGCACTGACGGGCGTGAATGCACGATTGGCACCAATGACAGCGCGGGGCGCGATATTTAAAGCGCCCAGTGCTGTCACTTGTTGCCGAATGGTCTTTCTGCATATCCTGTTACCTGTGTTGTGAGTACTTTGATCCGGATTGTCTGACCTAGCTGCCTTCTCCTGTCCTGACCCCTTGGCTTGCCTGACTCTGCTCCTGGATGTTCCCCTTTAGATTTGATCTCCTGTTATTGACCCAGCGTGTGACCCGACCATTCTTTGCCTACTGTTTTGTACCGCACCGACCCCCCGGCTACCGACACGGCTTGTTTGACTCTGCCCTTGCTCATTCCTCCATCCATCCATCCATCCCTCAGGGATCCCCGGATCCCCTCACATCAGACTCTCACCCTGCAGGAGCCTCCGGCAGACTCCTCTACCACTGATAGAGATATCCGGTAGCTGCGACCTGGTCCATCTCCACCATCAGGGGCCCTGGTGAACAAGTGCTTCGGAACTTAGACTCCGCACTCTGGAGAGGCTCTATCAGGGGACTGATAGAGGTGCTGTCGGGTGGTCCCTTACATTGCCACTGTACATTTTTTATTTTTACATTTTTAAGTTTGTATTTACTTTAGCCAGATACGGTTATGAGAATACAACATTTACAACAGTGTTCCTGTAGTGGCAGTGCTTGTCAATCAGTCTGGTCTGCAGGTACCTGATCAGCTTCAAGGCCAGGGGACGTAAAACACATGAAACAAAGCGAGGACCTAGGAGCTATAGAAATCAGATATTGATCTCATTTTTAAAGAAAAAGGGTAAAAAGCAAGTTCTCATTGTCTTTGTAGTAAATGATATATGACTATAAGGCCGTGACTTCCCTAGCCACACGGGTAACAGCACGTTTACAGTTTCTGACCTACATGTAACCAAACCCAGGTAAGGCTTAAGCACACAAGTCTATTCTCCTCTCCTCATTTGTTATTAGGAGAATAAGATCAGCTCCTTTGTCTGCTGAAGCAGCTGTGGGGCTTTGAGTCCTTTTTGTGAACTTGTGGGAAAGTGGCTGTCACTCCTTCTCAGACTGGCTCTTAGAAACCGAAGATTAGCTCATTCTATCTGTAAAGGCAATATGCTCCACATAACAATCGTCCTTCTTTCTTCTGGACAACATATTTTTTTTCTTACCTCAGATGGTGGCCATTCAGGCCTCTAATGCCCAAAGGATTTAGGCCAACGCTCATTGAAAATCTTTATTGATAATCGCCATTCATAACACTCTGGGCTGTAATTCTTCTGGTATTAAAAGTATTTACCACTAACTGTGAGAGAGTAAAATGGTCACACCGAATAGAGTCCCTTATGTTACCATTGGGACACAATAGAGAAAGAACGTTGTGAAACCTTTTCAAGTTTGATATTCCTGCTTTAAATTTCAGTACGGTCAGATCAAAGAGAATACAAAATAGTTACACAAGGGCCAATAACATGCCTAAAGTACACCTATCCTGTGAGAAACAAGTGGGCTGCCATTGCAGGCTTCCTTCTGAAAAAGCTGGCTGTGTTACTCACAGTAACAGACAGCACATGAAAGCGAGAAAAGTCATCTTGTCCTTGTTCCAAGTCTAAAAACCAAAGCATCACCATGACACACATTCAAGAAGAGGTAAGCAATGGCAGCCACCATATTTCTCTGATAACAGGTTTCTTTTAAATGCAGGTATAATTTAGTTATGAACAGACTTTAGAAAGCTGAATTGTCCACTGCTGACTCCCATTAACAGACACTGAGGCCTCTTTCACACAGGCTTTCTGATTAGGTCCTGCTGTCATTTTTTCTGATTAGGTCCTGTTGTAATTTTTTCTGATTAGGTCCTGCTGTAATTTTTTCCGATTCGGTCCTCCTGTCAGTTTTCCGATTAGGTCCTCCTGTCAGTTTTCCTGATTAGGTTCTCCTATCAGTTTTACGATTAGGTCCTCCTGTCAGTTTTCTGATTAGGTCATCCTATCAGTTTTCCTGATTAGGTCATCCTATCATTTTTCCGATTAGGTCATCCTATCAGTTTTCTCCGATTAGGTTCTCCTATCAGTTTTACGATTAGGTCCTCCTGTCAGTTTTCTGATTAGGTCATCCTATCAGTTTTTCCGATTAGGTCATCCTATCAGTTTTCCGATTAGGTCATCCTGTCAGTTTCTCCGATTAGGTCCTCCTGTCAGTTTTCCGATTAGGTCATCCTGTCAGTTTTCCGATTAGGTCATCCTATCAGTTTCTCCGATTAGGTCCTCCTGTCAGTTTTCCGATTAGGTCCTCCTGTCATTTTTCCGATTAGGTCCTCTCGTCAGTTTTCCTGATTAGGTCATCCTATCAGTTTTCCTGATTAGGTCATCCTATCAGTTTTCCGATTAGGTCATCCTATCAGTTTTTTCCGATTAGGTCCTCCTGTCAGTTTTCCGATTAGGTCCTCCCGCCAGTTTTTCCGATTAGGTCCTCCTGTCAGTTTTTCGATTAGGTCCTCCTGTCAGTTTTTCCGATTAGGTTCTCCTGTCAGTTTTCCGATTAGGTCCTCCTGTCAGTTTTTCGATTAGGTCCTCCTGTCAGTTTTTCCGATTAGGTCCTCCTGTCAGTTTTCCTGATTAGGTCCTCCTGTCAGTTTTTCCGATTAGGTCCTCCTGTCAGTTTTCCGATTAGGTCCTCTCGTCAGTTTTTTCCGATTAGGTTCTCCTGTCGGTTTTTCAGGTGAACCTGATCAGTAGCTCCTTGCATGTCTATGAGCAGGCAGATGTAAAAGGACTTGTGTTCACTTACATCTACCTTCCTCCGAGTCCATCCAGGTCACAGGGTTGCCAACCTCCCGAAGTAAAGTTTGCTGACATAACACAAAAAATGTACTGAGATAGCCAATGTTTTACTGACAGGACACCACAAATTTAAAGGCAGGCCAAATTTTAGTTTAAAAAGTTAGCCAAAATGACTGTTTTAGTGCAAATAACGATATTTAAGCCACAAACATATAGCTAGTGTGATTATCAATGTGGTTAAGGTATAACAAAGGGCAAAGAACAAATGTCTCCTTTTACATGAAGGTCAGGTTAACATAACCCAGCACAGAGTTTCCCCTTACATCAGAGTCTGCAGGGTTCCCATTTACAGTGTAAGAGGGAACACTACGGACCCTGATGTAAAAGGGAGCATTGTGGACTCTGATGTAAAGGAGAACTCTGAGGACTCTGATGTAAGGTGAATGCTGTGGACTGGTGTAAACAGAAACTCTTATTTATGGGGGGTCCCTGGTCATCAGATCCCCCTTACACAAATGTCCACAGAGTTCCCTCTTACATCAGACTCCAGAGTTTTCCTTTTGCATCACAGTCCACAAAGTTCTCCTTTATGTAATAGTCCATAGAGTTCCCCTTTACATCAGAGTCCACAGGGATCCCCCTTTCAACGTAAGGGAGAAACTCTGTGGACACTGATGTAAAGCGGAACTCTAATGTAAGGTGGTCTCTGGTCACCAGAGCCTCTCCTTATATCAGAGTCTGCAGCATTCCCCTTTAAGTACGAGTTCCCACTTGAATTGCCAATTACATCAGAGTTCCCTTTTACATCAGGGTCCGCAGAGTTTCCTTGCCCTCGCACTGTAAGGGGGAATCCTGCAGACTCTGATGTAAAGGAGAACTCTGAGGACACTGATTTAAGGGGGAACTCCACCGGGAACTTTCATGTGGGGGGGCTCTGGTGACCACAGACCACCTTTCGCAGAGTGAATACACCAAGATAATGGGGGTTACTGATACAAGGGGGTACCTTTTATCTGTGTCTCCCCTTATCTTAGTGTATTCACTGACTGAATTCCCTCTTACATCAGTGACCCCCCCACAGACTATGTGTAGCCTGGGCAGCTGGAGCTGACACTGACCTGTCTCCTCTGTAAGACTGCTCGGGTGCAGGGCAGTGGGGGCACTGAGGGTAGGCTCAGTCAGACCACAGTCCTCTTCTGTTTCTTGATCCTCCATCTGGACTCCTTTCCATTAGAACCATCACAGGTCTACCACAGTCCACTGTAAAATTGCAAACAAAAAATGAATGGGCATGGATGTCTTGAAACATCTGTCCTGTTCTGCTCCAATTCAGCAGGGGATCTGCTTACAGATCAGTTTCTGAATAGAACAGAGCCCCCAGGAAAGGAGCCATAGATGGTACGAATCTTGGCCAGTTTAGCAGGGACTGAACCATTTATGGGCAACCTGACCATACCCAATTTGATTGTTGTACGACTTGGGTACCACCAA